ACCGGGGTTTCTTAGGTGGTGCAGGATTTCGTCCATCCGCAGTACTAGCGACCCTTTGAGTCACCCAATCCGAGGCCAGGGCAGGGGCAGCACATCCGTGCGGCTCCGGTAGGACATGGTCGTCAGCAGGCGATCAGCCAAGCCATCTGCCTGCCAAAAAAAACGGTCTGGTCTTTCCCAGGCCCTCTTAGGTTTTCTTAGGTCTTTGGGTGGTTTTTAGTGCTTGGGCTTCCATTTCACCCACTATGTTCGATTTGGGTTTCCATTTCACCCACTAGGTTCGATTGGAGCATTGCTCAAGGCTGTGGCTCAAAAAAAACGGTACCCAAAATGGAACCCTGGCAAGTGGAAACATGGACTTCAATCCCCGCGGTTTGCCCCGATCGTTTTATTTTTTGAGCCACACCCAAACCAAGCAGACCGTGGTGGCATGGGCAGGCGCGGGCCGTTCAGGACTTGCAGTGGCTTGCGGGCCCCAGAGGTTCACGCAGACGGAAGCTCACTTAACTTCCATTTGGGTAAGACCCCGGGAAAAAAACAAACTATGTCCAGTAGTGATAAATTCCTTCTAAAACCAACAAGGGAAAAAAACCATCTTAAGCAAATGGAAGTTAAGTGGATATCAGAACTCGGCTGCTTGCCACTGAAAGGGTCTGCCCAAAAAGTTCGACATGTTCAGAGTTCAAATGTGTCCGTCTTTTTTTGAAGGTACCCGTTTCTGGGGAGGTTTTAAAGGAAAACCAAAAGGACAACCCCTAAAAACACACACCCAAATGGCAAAGTCAGGAAACCAAAAGGGAATCAACAGTGGAGTTTCAAGCCATCCCAGAAATACTTGTGGGTTTCAACATGCCTCTATGGTACAAACAGAAACGGCATTGGAAGCTTCTTTTTGGGATTTCATGAAGCAAAAGTTGGCGTGGGGGCATTTGTATGGGTGCTGACCCTCGGAGACACCCATAGCCCATCGACCCGCAGCCTTCGCGATTTTCACGTCAGCTCGCACAAACAGCGAGGCGCGTGCGGCCAGAGCGCGCGCCCTCAGTGACCAAGTTGCCCCAAGAGTGGGCAGGTTGCAAGTTGAACCCTCAAACTACCTGGATCCCCAGTTGCCCTTATTTTCCAGCTACTTTTGCCAAATTATGGGCTACTAGTGGGTAAAGTACTTGGGGATCCAGGTACTCTTCAAAGTGGGTTCTTGCCCCCAATTGGCTGTTGGATAAAGTCCAACTTTGCAGGGGTCTGTAAGGGTCCAGCTTTGCTGGGCGTGATTCAATGTCTTTCCTCCTTGAGAGGTGAGTCTGTTTGAGGGCACCCTTGTTGGGCTGCGCAAAAAGAAGGGACTTCCTCCGCATGATTTGAGGTTCAAGCACATAAAACTAGGGATCCCAAAATGCTCGCCTGTCAGCTAGTCTGGCCCCTTGCAAACCAAAAAAGCTGAATAAATGCCGGTGACATGTAATGAACAGAAGAGCCAGAAACACAACTTCAGACCTCATTCACCAGGTTTGCTCCAAGGAGCTCGGAAGGGTAAAACGCTGGGTCCTTGTAAAAGGAAACAAATGGACAAATGAAGCCCGATGTTCGACTGGGGATTTGCACATTCGTTTGAAGAGCAACCCTGACAGGCTTCCTCTTCTACCCAAATGGAGGTGCCCAAGAAAATGTTGAAAGCTGCACCAAACCTTGTTGGTCGTGTTTTGGCGGGAACCTACTCATTTTGCGTGTCCCTTCTCGAGAGGTGTATGGAACTGAGTGAGGTGAAAAAAACCACTGCCAAGCCTACAGAGAAGGATGGGTCAAAGGATATCTTCTTCACCGGTTCACTTGCTTTCCCAATGAGAACATGGAGAAAGGCAGTGTCTAAACGTGGTTGTGGGACACTGAGTAAGCTCCCTGTCGCCAAAGACATGTTCCTCAAATCTCTCACATGGAAACCCGCCAAACGAAGGACCTCCATTGTTGTAATCTGACGACGAATGTGAAACCAACAAAGAGGGTTCCATCGAAAGGATCATTCGCCACTGCATGTCATGATGACCCTGGTAATGACCAAAGAAGGCCAGCCATGACTTCCTTGGAGGCACCGAAATCGTCATCCAGTTTGGCCTGGTGCGCTTCTCTGGTTCTCAGGCTTTGCCTGCCGAGACTCGACCAGACCCCGGCCCTTCCCCGGGAAACAAACAAAAAAACAACCACCCCCCCCCCCCCAAAAAAAAAAAAAACTAAAAAACGGCAGCCGCTTCATTTGACCACCAAAATTGGAGTTTTGTTTTAAACACCTCGGAGATGGCGCGTCAGGGGCATCATCCGTCGTTGTTGAAGAAGCCACTGGAAAGGGCCCCAGGGCTCCTTACAAATCTTGATTGAGACCTTTGGGAACTTTTCAAGAAGCTCAGATGCGGGCGGTTGTGTGGCGAGCATCTTCCTGAGGATCAAGCGGCACAAGGAGATTCGAGCACTGGAAAGCTCTCTTCGCAACTCCCCAGTGAACATCCCAATCCAACCACTAAAATAGGTTCTAAAACGGGTGGTGAATTCACCTACCCCACAATGGTATTGGTTTTGACCCATGGCCATCTCCATGTGAATTAGATCTGACCTCTGGAACATCATTTTCGTGTTGGAGCTAGGCAAACAAAAAAACAAAAAAACGCGCACGAGTAAGGCCGGTCTAAGCTATCCTGAGTGGGGATCCTTGTCCTGACAACACCTGGGTCCATGAACTGGATGCCTAGAGGACTCCGAGGAAACCGTCAGCCCTCACGAGACGGCTGACGGGAACTCGTGCTAGCCTTCGTTTTTGAAAACGAGCGCCCGAGATCAAACTTCAGACACACCTCACAAGAACAATTTGCTGAAGTGTGTCTTGTGAGGGTACCCCTTTTTGGCGCTGATTTGAAGCTGACAACCAAAAGGAAGCCGCGCATGTTTGATGAGTTGTGTCTTGCTTGTTAGTGTGTTTGTGCTATTTTCTGGGGGTCCCCTACTAGGTCCTCCAGTAGTGCCCTTTTACCCCTTTCTGGGGGGAGGGTTCCCCTACTAAAATAGACTACGCAACCCTTATTCTAGCCTCTCTACTGGAGGACCTAGCCTATGTTGAGACAAGCCCATGTTTCGGGACCCAACACGGACTGGCAACGGGCCATGTCCTTCACGCAAAAAAGAACTCTGGCGTCCAGAAATCTTGATCGCTGGAAGGACCGCCCTGCAAAAAGTGTTCAACTAATTTTGGGGGGTTTTGTGGAAAACACCGAAATATGTCCCAAAAAAGTTGACTTTTGGGGGGTTTAGTCGAAGATCCAACCCCATAGCAGTCAAGTACCTTCGAAGTCACTGTCTGAAGGAGGCATCCGGGCCACAGCCCGAGCAAACATGACCGTGACTAGGCCCTCCAGTAGAGAGGTTAGAAGAAGGGTACCAACTTTTGTCTGTAGTCTATTTTAGTAGGGGATCCCTCCCAACCAAAAAAGGGGGTGAGAAAGGGCACTACTGGGGGACCTAGGGGTGATGTCCCAAGAGAAGTAGAGGTCATCCGATGCTTGGAATCAACCGAGTTCTGGTTCCGTCGCGTCAGGCTCCCAAACCTGCCATCCCACGGGACCCTTCGCGCGTGTTGCGTGGGTTCCGATTTTGAGACCCCAACTACAAGCCCAGCGCCAAATTAGGGCCTCCAATTCTTGCCGGGCCCAAAAGTAGTTGGCCCAAAGGCGTCGGGTGAAGACTAAAAAACTCCGAGGTCGGGACTCAGGGATTGTGCCCGGAAGCTATCCAAGCTAGGCCGAGCAAGCTGCGGGATGCGGGATGCGGATGGCGGAAGCGCGAGCCGCGAGCCAGGTGCCACCCCGCTTCGTTCGAAGATTTCGAAAGCCAGAAGTGGTCCAAGTCGTGGAGGGGTGCTGCTAGAGGAAGCCTTATGTTCTTGTTCTTCTCTCTTTCTTTTGGAGTCGGGGGGGAAGAGGGGCGGGGGGGGGGGTTGATGGGGTTCCCCAGGCAAAGATCGGTTCATGCGAGTCAGGCTTTTAGGGTCCCCCCCTCAAACCCTGATTAAATCACGCATGGTAGGACCTTCAGCCCCTAAAAGAAGCTCAAGCTTCCAGAACTTCCGCCAGAGCTACCTTTCGGGAGCTGATTGCAGGCTGGTTTCAGGCTGGGTTCAGACCTCGTTTTTGGACCTAAGTGAGCAGCCCAAAGGGCAACAGAACGGGCGGACACCCTGAGAGCATGGATTCCCTTCAAACAAAACAAAGCTGAGATGCCCAGTGGATTTCCATGGGAAGAAAATCATCGCCATCCCGTGTGTGTGGAATCGGAACCCTTCCCAAAAGATGAAAAATGGAAAGCAAACTGGGGCTAAGACCCCCCACAAAGTTTTACCTCGAGTCTGGGATTCAAACCTCAAGAGCTCTGACGAGCCGTGGCGATGATTGTCGAGCCAGGGAGCAGCTGGTCCAGCTGTTGCTTGCTCTTTGTTTTATTTGACCATGTAACAATAACTTGGTTGCTGCAACGACCCCTCTGCATTTTATTTCACTTTTTAGGGGTTTAATGGAAAACCCAACTTAGTTTCAACCAAAAAGTTAAAGTCTACAGATCCAACCCAATAGCAATCAAGATAATAACAATGACTACACCAACATCAAAATATGCAAATGTAACACTTCGGGAATTGTCCAAATCAGCAACACGGTGCCAGACGCCATCTGCTACAACAAATCAATTCTGTCAGTCCGGTGCGCGCAAAATGGCCAGTGTTGGCCAATCCCAATCCACAATCCCTGTACCCAGAAGAGGCTCCCGGATGATTTAGGGTTTTGAGACCCCCCACCACATCAGGGTGTCTAATGGAGGTCGGGTCTTCAATTGAAAGCTCCAGGAGCCTCTGGGTAGCAAAAACCGCTACCAGCAAGGGGAACCCTGACATAACCCGAGCTGAAGATCTTGGGGATTTGCTTTGAACTGCCCAGCTAAAAGCCGGGCCTAGATCCCCATCCCGTCGCCTTGAAGAAGCGGTTCACGCTCTCTCCTGCGTTGACCGGAGTGCGACGGTGACACAGCAGAACCTTTTCAAACCCAGCAGCAAACACCACCAGCCAGGACGAATGTGAGTGGTTTGTTGCCCGCCAATTTTCCCGGCGCTTCACGGTCTTTCACTGCAAAAAAGGGCGTTCACGCCAATTTCACGGTATTTTCACGATTTTCCCTTGTCGATAGCCAATGATCAATGTTTCTGGAAATCCCACCAAGTCGAAGACCTTCATTGAACAGCTTCAACATGTCATAGTTTTCTCGAGGCTTTGGGAAGTTCGGAAGCGTACATCTCAGCCACAAGCACTACAAAGCCATGTGGCTACCAATGCGGCCAAAAATAAAGGGTCAACTCAATTAAAGGCGTCCAGCTTAGCAAACAAAGACCGTAATTACCCCACATTTCACGGCCGCTTCCTAAAGGCCATTCTTTTTAAGGCCCCCGAACCCCAGGGTATATATATATATATTAATATATATATATATATATAGATATGTTGTTTGATTTCGTTCAGGCGAAAGCAATAAATGGAGCGGACAGGAGCAGGCGCGCGGTAAGCATCGGCAAGCAACAAAGAAAGCCGACAACTGGGCAATCAACAAATTGCCGATCATGGCTTTTCGGCGACTTATACACCTGACCTGGTTTGGCCTTGAAGGAATGGTGTGTGGCTGCTAACTGAGTACTGTGTCTTTTTGGAGACCATCTTGAACCTAAGATTGATCACCTGTGTCCTCTGATCCTCATAAGCTCAGCTTGACAGGCAAAGGCATTTGGCGAAACACAAAAGCTTTCATAGTGCGGTCTGCTGAGAAGCAGTTGTACGCGAGGCTTCCCGACAAATGCAACTGTGGTTACGACTTGCAGCGACTTGCAGGCAATGGTTCGACGTGGATTGACGACGATGCGATTGAGCCCCTTGCAAGCACTGCAACTGAAGTTTATCCCCCGGATCTTCTGCGCTGTGTCGGCCAAGTGGTTTCGCAAGCTTCAGCGGAGTCGGTCTTCGCAGGCAGCAGTGCAGGACGTTTAGTAGCTCAAGCCTTGTGTTGATTGGATGATCTTTGCACAGCAAGTTGGCTCCGTTTACAGCAATGGGCATGACAATCAGCAGGCGCGGGTTGCTTCTTAGCTATCAGTCAGATGCGCATGGCTTTTACCATGCCTTAAAGTAGCTTTTCCAGCGACATGCCATCGAGACACCTGGTCTCAGATGCCTAGTGAATTTCCATGGGAAAGAAGTTGGTCGAGTTTAAAGGGGAACCCTTCCCAAACAAAAAGGAACAAAGGGCGCCACTGAGCAATTGGGTGGTGAGTTGCTCAAGTGCGTTGCCAGAATTGGCTGTTCCAGACCATATGCTATCGCCGGTCGGCCGATTTTTTGTTTGCGGGTGCACGCGCACACGATCTGCAGAAGTGCTTTTCTTGCGATCGGTGCGATAGGCAGGGAATGAAATGACCCCGAGAAAAAAACACAAAACATCCCACTGGTCTCCCTTCAGGGAGAATCCGGGTTCATTCCATTTCACATTCCCTGCCTGCACAGATCGCAAGTTTCGTGCACAGATCGCTTAGTGTTTCTCTCCCGACCGCTGATGGCCCCTACGCCTCGCGCACCTCTTGCGCCATCATCTGCCGGTATCCCAAGATAAGAGGGGCTCCCAATTTGGGGGGTCCCAATGCCATGTATCTAGTCTTCCCCATGTGGATGGTTGCGAAATCCATGTTGCACCACCTGGTGAAACCTGAGTTTCTGATGGGATTCACCCGTAAATACCAACAAACAAAGGTTTTTTCCCCATGGTTTCAATCCACAGTAGGGGAATGGGTTGCCATAAATGGAGATCTCCAGTGGAACTCCCCCCTCCCCAAATTTCCAAGTGAGACCCGGTGGGGATCTGCCGGTGTCATGCGCAATTAAGCCCCGAGCAGCGCGGCTGGGGTTGATTTGGGGACATGGGCTCGTATCCAGCTTCCTTTCCTTACAAAACCAGGCAAACCCACATGAACCTGGACTTCATGTTCCCATGGCAGACAAGAAATCCCTTCAGGAAATCATCTTCCGTTCGTGGAAAAGAGTAGCGTTCGGCGCTCGCCGACATCAGAAGGTCATCTGCCCGCCTACGTTGCGAAGCATGTGCATCGCTACGAAGAGGAAATCAAGCCTCGGCTCTTTGGTGCCAACGGCCGCAGATGAAAAGACCCGTGCCTCAGCTTCCCAAGCCTATTGGATAGCCTTTGGTGGTGTTGGCCAGAACCCAACAAACAATGAACAGAACATAGCCAAAACCCCCCAAAAACCCGAAAAAGCCGGTGAAGTCGGTGAATGTTCAGCTCATGTTCAGTGATGCGGGCCGCGGGCAATTGAACCTTGGGGAGCTGATGATCAGGTGCAGTTTCACTCGGTCGCCGCGTCAAATGTGGCACGTGAAATCGGGGAGGTTACCCTTCCTACGGTACCATGGCACGCAGGGGGTCCCTCTAGGAGGAGCCTTATCTTCAACAGGTGCCATGTTCCTGGGAGGAAGCGTACGCAATTTTGGCCGGGCTTGCTTCGCCTTCCGGTAAAATCTGGGTGCGGGCAAGTGACTTCTCTGTGAGGTGTGGAAAAGTAAAGCACTGGCGGTAACAGTCCATGGTTGTGGGGATTGATCGCCAGGACAACGTTGTCACTGCGAAGGGTGTCACAGAACATGGGACGAAAACCCCATCCACCATGGTCACCATGGTGCTAAACAGAAAAACCTGGTACCCCCATCTGAAGAAGTCTCCTCTTTTGCAGCACTTCGACAACCACTCCGCATTCTTTGGCGTCAAGCGTAGGTAGTGCCGTAGTGCCTTTAGAGGATGCCAACACCAGGTTCTGCATCCACGGTTGTGCGGTTAAAGAAAGTATCCCCAAGCCACCCGCGGAATGCTGTCCTCAACTTCTCAAGGATGCTTATTGGACAGTCGGTTTATATATATATATATAACGCAGAAAGGCTGTTGGACGCGGGTGTCCTGTTTGTGTTGTTGACATCTGCAGTTCAGGGACCCTCTTGCCACGTGTAACTGGGTTGACCTCCTCGATGAGTTAAGGAACAAAGCTCTGGTTCAGAATACCAGGTCAGTTCGAACTGAGTCACTCTTGAATTCCCGGCCAGCCGACAACCCAAATTGGCTCCCTTTCAAAGGAGGCTGGTCTTCCGTTGCTCAGTTTTTGTTCCGCTCCGTGCGCGGAGCAATGCATGAGGCCGGAACTGCTGGTTGCACACCAACTGGTAGGCCAACCTGCGAGTCACTTGACTGAAGAGAATCCGAGGGAACTTACTTTTCACGGATAGGTTCCCCTGGGTAAGGCTCTGGATGGTGTGAAGGACAACCCTGTTTTGAAAGACCCTATCGGGCATCGACACTAGGATCTCTATTGCAGCTAAAAACAGAAACCTTGGGGGAAAGGGTCTGAAATCGACAAACCAAGGAAAACTCAAAAGGCGCAAAAAGGTGGGCTTTGGACAAAGCATCTCGCTTGGTAACACGGAGCGATCCCGGGCTGCATTTCATTTGCCGTGTTTGGATACCGCCCCAGCTGAAACATGGCAATTCAACCGGGTGTTGTCGAAAAAGGGAACCTCCTTTTAGATGGTTCCAAGATGAGATGAGGCTCAGTTGCCCACAGGACCTGGAAATAAAAGGTTAACCTTTTGGGGCCATGACTCAAAATGGATCAAAATGGGAAAAGCAAAAGGTCAAAAGGTCGATTCGCTTTGGACAAGTGAGGAGGCAGTATGTAAAGGACAGAAACATGAGAAAAATCCTCATTTCTCGGGGGGCTCCTAGAAAATTGTGGCTCCTCAAAAGGCTTGCCTTTCAAGGCGAAAAGGGTACCACCCAAAAACCCCGACTCCCCCATTTGGGTGTGTAAAAATCGGTTTGGACCTCCACAAATTGGTGGCTTCCTTTGGCTTCCCTTTCAAACTCTGGCCCCCACAGCTGCGCCTTCCAGCGGTCACACGGAAGTCCTCGAAGATGCTGCCTGCAAGGACTTCGGCGGAAGCCCCAAGTTGATATGGCTGTGGGTGAAAAAAGTACCCAAAACGGATCCCTGGCCGATGGATTTAGGGTCTTCAGATAACCTGGTGCTGAGACCCCTCACCACCAATTCCCGGGGTCTCTGGAGGGGTCGGGTCTTCCATTGAAAGCCGAAGCCAGGAGCCGCTGGGTAAATGGAATTTCATTTGGACCCATACCCATATGGCAAGTAAGTGAGGTTGGCATGGAACCCACAAAAACGGGTCTAAAGGAAGATTATCTAGAGGGCTGAGCCGTGGCCACAAGTACCGGATCTGAACATGTCCTCTCCTGTCGGCCTCAAGTGTTTGACAGAATCTCAAGAGCCCACATGCGATGGGGGGTTGAAACTAAAAATTGCCCAAATTTGGCATTGCCAGACGTCATCGCGCCCACGCAAATTGCGCAGGCACCCACCCCTCTTGGACGACCCTTCCCATTTTGGCGCCAGGCTCCAGTGGAGGCTTCAGTGGAATGTTCACTTTTTGACACTCTGAAAATGCCAGTGACACGCAGCCCTCTTGAAGGAACTGCCTGCATCGCATTCCATCAAACATTCGTGGATTCCAGACAAAATCCAATGAAAACTTGGATTTTTAATTTTCACGTCTTTCATGCTTTGCTTCCCGGCAAAGCTACGGACAGCACGTGAAAGCTTGCTAGAACAGGCCCGAAGCGGGCGGGCAGTTTCTAGCAAAAGTGTGGGTTGGCCCGAAATGATGCGCGGGAAATAGGAACCCCATGTGGGACCCTGGGGTCATCTGCCTTTACAAGGGAGTCTCCTCACCCATGTTGTCAACACCAGGCAACTTCTCGCCCCACCAACCCCATCTCTTAAGGCCTTTATTTTGGTGAAGCCATAGAGGAAAACTGGTTTCCCGATTCAAAGCTTCATACCTGGATATGTCTTTTTGTGGGGGGGGCACCTTTTTTTGTGTGCATTGAGGGGTCTCCGCCACGCGAAGAACCCGCTTGTAAATCGGTAAAGAAACCGTTTGACCGTGGCCCAAGAGCTGAAGCTACTGGCACAATCATTCCTGAATTGGATCTGCTACTCAGTTGCCCAAAGCTTGGTTGACGTTGGAAGGGGAGCAAAACTTTAAATCTTAGCAGTTAAGTGGGGACTTCCCATTTTTCCGTAATAAGGAAACTAAAATGTTTCCACACAACAACCATGAAAAAGACCCGGAGAAAAAAGTTACCCTCTTGAAGCAGAAGGTCGGCTTTGGGCAACCAATTTCGTCTTGGCTGTTGCCTTCACTTCCATCAGCTTCTCGCTGGAGCTCGTGCAGGAGGTTCAGGGCCGAGGAGATACCTCCGGCCCGGGCCGCGGGCGAAAGACGCAACCCAGACCTCTATAGTGACAAATGGCCGACAGATGTGGTACGTAGAAACGGTATGTGCAAACTCTGTTCCATATGGTCTACAACCAGATACAAAAGGGTTGGGAGGAGTCCCCGCCCTTCTGGTCTTGCAGGTGTTTCAGCAGCCTTGCAGACCAATGCCCCATTGACCCGTTAGTAGGCCAAAGCCGTGTCGACTACCCCGTGGAGGTGTCAAGATTTGCAATCAAAATTGCAAGGGCCCCTTTTCGGCTCTGTGCTACTTAAGACTCAGCTCGTCTGGTCGAAGCAGAGGCCGACCCCAATCCATTTGATCTAACGGGGCATTCTGCAAGTCAGCCGATGAAAGAGAGCCCGCAAGGCCCTGTGCCTACCCTTGACCCACCTAGCCTTTCGGAACTTTCGCGGGGGCATCAGGGCTTTACGTTTGCCATTGTACTTAACTATCGACGAAAGCTACGTGGGCTTTCGTCACGTGCGAACTCAGCTCAAACAGCACGGCGCCCGCGGCGACGCAGGCGAGGACTGTCGTGATTAACGAATCAATCGCGCGCATGGGACCTAGGAGGTCCTTACTTTTTGCAAGCAGCGCGCTGGACGACTAGCATTGCGCTCTTTGTTGCCGCCGCCAAACGCACGCCCCGCGCGAAAGCAACGCAATGAGGGCCCCCTCTCCCCGAGACCGCGTGGCAACACAACGTGCGAAGATACGCGAAAACGCTCGGCTCCTGCCTGATGCCGGCATGAGCTTTGCGCGAGTGAGATTGTTGCAGGGTACGGGGAACTCCTATTTCTCTACGTCGCCAAAACAGGCCCGAACGAGCCGTGTTCCCGCAGGGTGTCCACCAGAGTCTTGACGTTGAAGCTTGGCGAGCTTCACTCCTCACAATCTTGCAATCAGATTGGGCAAGTTTCATGGCATGCTTCTGCCATCCATGACGAAGGGCTCCCGCGTCATTTTGCGTTTTAGCACCAAGGTGGTGAATAAGAACATGGGCCAATACGTTGCACTCCCGAAAAAGAAGGGCAGTCTTCCTGTACCTTCTTGTTCAGTTTCTCATAATTGTTGAAACCACCCAGTTTGTTTGTTCACCTATTTGACACCCATTTTGAGGCATCCGGGTCTATCCCAAAAGAAAACGTGGTTTCCTGTTGGCTTCCCTTTAAACTGGTTCCCCTTTGGCTTCCCTTTCAATGACAACCTCTACTTCAAGAGTGGTGCTCTTATCAGGCGGCACATAGAGTTTGGGCGGGGAACGAAAGAAACTCTTTGGAGGCTCGGAGCTGTGAAGGCTTACCCGGGACACGTCGAACCCGAGTTCAAGGAAATTCGGAAAACCTTAGTGGGAGAACAGTTGCGTTTATCGATTCTGGCTGGTGGTAAAGGGGAACCAACAAGGACACCAACCTTTTTCAAGCTCCCCCATTTTGAGAGCCAATGTGGGTGTAAGGTTTGGTCAAACTTTTCCCCAACCCAGGCAACCAGCATCAACCAGCACTCTGGTCACGCTTCAAAAGCTATCCAGCACGCATTCCACGTGCTCAACAGCGTCCAGACGGCCAAGACCGGGCTCTCCTCACAATGCATTGGTCCCAAAAAGTCAAACCGGCATACGCGGTTGATTGTCTCTGGGTTTGGAGAGCCCCCAAAAAGCGACTCGGGAGAGCCACAAACCCGTCGTGGTTTACCACTACACTGGTCTTCGCTGTTGTCAGAAATTGAGTGAGTTGTTCAAGGTCTTTGAATAGGCCCTCATATTTGGCCATGGGTCAAAACCCAAATCGTACCCCCAGTGAACATCCAAATCCAACCACTAAAATAGACTAAAATGGGTGGTGCACCTACCCCACAATGGAACCATTGGTTTTGACCCACAGCCATATGTGTGCTTTTGCTGGGAGCTCCAGCCGGGGACAAACCCGTAGCAAGCGAGCTTTGAAAAAGGGTAAAATGCCTCTTACATCCTTTTACCATACTGTGGATGGACGCTATCCATTTCGCACCATCTAGGAAACCCTGGTGCCTGATTTGATTCCCGACCCCAGGTCAAAGACCTACATCAAGAGCGAGCCAAATTGAGCTCCCCGCAGAACAGGCCAATATAATGAGGCTACGTGTCATTTGAGAATCCTCTTCTCACCTTAGTTCGAAGGACAACCACGAATTGCACCGAAATCCATTTTTTGGGCCCCCTATTCTGACACACAAACATGGCACTGCTGCAAAAAAGATTCATTGTGCCCCTCAACGAGAATGGGTTTTGGTGAGGAAGCAGCAGAACTTCCATTTGCTTAAGCCCTCTGGCATTTCCAGTAGTGATAGATTTCCTTTAAAACCAGCAAGGGAAAGTAGCAAAACATCTCAAACAAATGGAAGATATATCTGCTGGTTTCTGCTGAGTGTGCCAAACATCATCCCCTTGTAGAGCAAAGGATCTTAGCTTTGGAATCCGAAGGACCCAAGTTTGACGACCCAGTAGATCATTTCCTAGGGAATCGCCCCTTCTGATCCGCATTCCGAAGTTAAGATTGAGGGTTGGGTTTGGGTCTGTAAAGCTTTAGGGGACACCCCCAAGAAGCAAATCATATGATGATTGTCCTTTCGGCTTCCCTTTAAATAAACCAAAAAGGCACCCTCACCCTTTGCGGATCCCAAGGACGGAAGCCTAGGGCTTCTTGTTGAGGACATCCACCGGGAAGGATTGTCCCCAGAAACCGTGACAAACTGATGCAGGAACCCCCTTTTCCTGACGAAGAAAGCCGATCCCTAGAGCTCCTGTATCACGAAGCGAAGAAAGCTATTTCAGGTCCTTTTGATCTGTTCAGATTTGAAGGGAGTCTTCTATATTGGACTTTGCTGCCCGAAAACACATGGGTGTGGGTCAAAATTACACCACCAGGGGACCGGTCCATGTTGCCACTTACCAGGGCAACCCATTTTGGGGTTGCCCTGTTTCTGACCCGCAGCCACATCGCTGTCTGTTGTGTTTTGGGGCGTGCAAAAAGCGGCCGAGAAGAAAAAAAAAACGCGGCCGCAGTGGGCACGGCCCGTCATGAGCGCATTGCGCACCAAGGCCTCCGGAGACTCGGGCGCCGAGTTCGTCGAGTACGGCGTGCGCCGAGGTTCCAGAGGCTGTGGCTCAAATAAGTGGCACCAAAATGGCACGCAAGTGGAACCAAAGACCAAAACCCGCGTAACCCCAGCTCTTTCATTTTGAGCCATAGCACACAGACTGTGGTTGGTGTGATTAACTTGCTGGTGCTTGCTAGGGAGTGAGGGAATGAACCCAGGGGCCCCCTTAAAGGAAACCACAAGGATGGTTTATAGGTTCATTCCATTTCTCATTCCCTGCCTATCGCACCAGCAAGTAAACAGGGCTCTTCATGTTTCTCCCTAAATCATCACCTCCACAGGGACACTCACCAAAAAATGGGCCCAACATGTCATTCAGCCAACAAGGATCCCCTGCGAACAGGTTTCTGGAGTGGGTTACATGGGAACTACCACGAAACCCTAAAAACTGAAAAGGATGGCTGGGAACTACAAGAACCAGGGCTTCAAATCCCCAAACAGGCAATCCAAACCAGAGGAAGGATAATCTGATCATCATGCTAAGATAAGGGACCCGCACAATGGGGCGGGGTTCCTTTGGCGTTCCTTTCAAAAACCCAAAAAAGGGTACCCGCTAAAACACACACACACACAAACGGTTGTCTCAAAATAGGGGAACCTTCAAAACAAGTGTGGTCTCGCCTCAAACAAAGACGCACCCACACTCAAGCAGTCATGTTGAGACGAATCTGCTTTTGGGGTTTCACGTTAATCAGCAGGGTAATCTTCATCTCAATTCCCGAGTGGATGACCCAAAAAAAAGTCCAAACTTATACCCTTCCTCCCACAAACGTAGCACCTTTTTGAGGGTTCCTGGAAGATCAGTTTACTCTTAGAGGAACCCCTTGTGAGGTATGTTAATGGGAGGGAGGGTATCTATCCCTAAGCTGCAATCTTTCCAAAAAAGTTCAAAGTCCAGGAACGCAGGACGTGAGTCATTCTGAAGCGACTGCGAACCGGAGCGTCACGCGCACTGCAGCTGAGATGGCAAAACGTGTCCATCTGGGTGCCAAATGGGGGGGCTCCGCGGGGGTCCATGCCGTTTTGGTTTCCGTTGGAAGAAATCGAAGATGAAGGGCTAGCATACATCCGCACCAACATATTGGAATTATCCACACACACCCCACACGCCAACACCCAATACCCACTTGTTTCAGGGTATGATGGGGTAGGATACCTCAATCAAACACGTAGACACAAGGGTTCTGCAAGTCGTTTTTCCATGGCTGAATTGCAACCACTCCAGCAACACCCTCTCCACGAGCCCGAGCCGCCGGAATGTGGCAAGCTTTGTTTTGAGGTTTCCAAACAACTCACATCTGGTAGCGACTATGGCATGCCCGAAGCTCTGAAGGCTTCATGCCCAAACTGTGAAGCCCTAAAGAGTGGTTGGTGGACAAATCAGGTCCCAAGGACTGCCTAACTCAAATTCATGCCCTTTTCCAAAGCAAGCGCAGCATCGCGGGAATGTCCGATCGGAATGGGTGGTTTGGCGGGGTGGTTGGGGCCCCTGGCAGGGAGGGACTGGTTTCCTTGCCAATTCGTCGATTCAGATTGGAGGCCCCATGTGCCTCTCAACATACGTACTTCCAAGAGCTCCAGGCACCATTGCACAGTATATGCATACATTAATATTAATATGAATCATCGGTGCAAACTCTCGAACACGGGACTGCTCGAGTGCAAGCGCTGCTGTGCTGCAACTCGTCACGTCTTGCCCGTCAACCATGATCTTGTCTGCAATGATTCTAGCCCCGACACGGCTGGACCACAATGCACGAACATCGCATGCTTTCATCAAGGGGCCAACCCCATACCAAGGGTGCATCTTACAAGTGTGTTGACCGCTAAGAAAGCTTGTGTCTGTGCGCGGAAACTCTGTAAATCACAGAAAAGGAGACAACTAGTTTTCAAACAAACAACTTGTGTCTGCATGCTGCCAAACATGTTGGTTTTGATGTACTTACTTGCCCAGAGGACTTGGAAACAAAGGTGAACCTTTCGGAACCTTGACTACATATGGACCGACTCAAGGGAACCAAAAGCGTACAAATGGTCGGCTTTGGGCAAGTGAGTGTAAGTTGATGACGGTGAAAAGGCACCCTCTCTTACCTGCTGATGAACAGCCATACCCGATGAACAGCCATCTATCTTCAAAGAAGGCCGAATTCTGGCAACTGCATACGGGTGTCGGTTTTGAGGGTATTGTTGTTTTCTGATTTTTAAAGGAAACGAAAAGGGCCATTACTTTTTTTTTTAGGGACCCCTGAAAAATGACACGCCCACATGACATGACTAAGAAAACACTTCAAGCTGCGGTGCGAACACATCCCCAGCCCGTAGAAATCATGAGATTTTCCTGGTACATTCCATTTAAGTAACCAAGCGGGAAGACGTGGGACTTGTATAACGAACCCGTTTGGATGTGGACCTCCCTCTCTCAGTAATTGAGGGGTGGTTCATGTGCTCGCAGCTCGGAACAGCCTTCAGTCTTGGCATCATCTTTTGAAGGTACCCTCCAAAAGGCAGGGGTTGGTGTCCAGGGCAACAAACGGAGACTCGTTTGGCGGCGATCACGCTGCCTGAACCCATAGTTGTCTTTCGCTGTGTCTAAGCTGATCTTCGTCTGATGCAAGGAACTGTTCACAACTTGTCAGCTTCCCTCAAAACGGGGGTTCTCTTTTAAGGGGACCCCAAAAGTGGCCGGTTGCCTTTTGGCTTCCCTTTGACACCAGCCCAAAAAGGGCACAGTACCTCCGAAGAAAGACGAGCCAGCCAATTGGCTTGGTTCGGTGGTCGTCAGATACTAAAACCCGTGGCTTCAGAAGGAACTGGGAGTCAAATCCAACCCCCAATTAAGAATCTGATTTGCGCCAATGAAACTCGGGCACGGCCAAGGAATCCGGGCCTTCTGCCCGGGCGTGTAGATGGCGCTAGAGGGATGCTTCCTTACCCTATGTCCTCAGACCCGAGCATCATCTAAAAAGCAAGCAACACAAACACGCAAGAGCTGGGAGGGGGGTGGATGCTAAAATGCCAGCCAAAAAAAACCAAGCGAGGCTCAAACCCAAGTGCACCATGTGCACCTCTCCCCCCTATGACTTTCCTGGGCACAGGGTCACAAGTCAGCCGTGGCCTCGGCTCCCTCGAGGGTGCGCAGCTGCGACAAGGGAGGCGCCAACCGATCCTGCGAGGCAGGGCTCAGGATCGTCCATTTTAGCTTCTCGTAGGTCTTCCAGTAGAGAGGTTAGAATAAGGGTACCCTTTTTTCTGTAGTCTATTTTAGTAGGGGAACCCTTCCCCAAAAAAAGGGTAAAAGGGCACACTACTAAAGGACCTGGTCTCTTTTTGGTGGTTTGGATCTGTGGTTTGGTAGTTCAAGAGGGGTTTCCCATGTATTCTCAGGAAGCGGGGGGTCAAATCCCAAACCACAAATCCAAATCAGCGATTGGAGGGAGGCTGATCATTTGCTTGAGTCCCCTGGTAGTCATACATTCTCTTTATATTAAACAAACAGGAGAAAATAAAAGGGTAAGGAGATGCTTTTTGCAGTAAGGGTGATTTGGGTGGCTCTTTGGGTAGGCATGGGGTTGTAGGTTGGTTTCGAGGTGGGTTGCAGGTTTGAGGCAGGTTGAGCGCTGTGCCTTTGGAACTGCCCTGAATCCACTCGGCCTCAAGAGGCCCTGGTTTAGGGTGGTTGGGGTGCCTCGCAGCAGTTGCCTCTTGACCTTCTCAAAAGAACATACAGCATCGCCCCTTGAGGTGTGCTCTCATTCTCACTTCCTGAGGTTGGCAAAAACAAGTCCGAACTTTTTGTTTACCACCAAACTGGTCGCCCCAAAAAGTCTCACGTCAGGAACTCAGGGAGTGAGCGTGACACTGCTCGGGGGCCTTCATCCTATCTCGGTTGCTTTCTGCTCCCTGCTAAAAGTTTAACTTTTAGCGGTTTAGAAAAACCCATTAGTTGGCAAAAAGTTAAAGTCCTAATCCAAGAAACACGCACCAACGTTATGTTCGACACACCACTCTGTTTAAAGGCAACAGCTGGCACTGAACCTGCAAACGTGTGGATGGCACCCTCTTGACATCCAACACAAACCCAACCTCAAAAAACAGGAATCGCGCAAGAGGCCCAGTTGCCCAGCGACCAGGGCGGTGGCCGTTTTCGTTTTCAAGGTACCCACCATGCAAAAACTGAGGCCACACGGTGTACACAGAGAATCATACGGTGGACTCTGTTCACCTCAGAAAAGGAGAAACAAGAGCCACAAAGCAACTGGGGAGGAGATCCGTCTTCTTCGATGCGTACTTCTGGAGTTTCCTCTGCTAATTTTCCGGAGACAGATCTGTCGAGATTGCAATGTAGGTCTTTCTCCTGACTCCTGAAAGCCGACCCCCCCATCTAAGAAATAACCGTAGAAAAAAACACTGCAGCTCCCCCAAAAGCTCCAAATACCCACTTTGTCGAGTATATTTTGAAGAACCAGGTGTTATATCGTACATGCCTGCTTTTTCCGGAGTTGGTATCATAGCCTGTCATACCCTGAAAACGGCGGTGCCTCTTTGGGTCGCCGGTAATCAAAGGAAGACGCATCCAGCAGAGGAGAAGGAATGCTTGGACGGATTTACTGGGAAGAAAAGGGTGTCGCAGTGTCGCATTCATTGCTCCCTTGAACATGACATTCATTGCTCCCTTGAAAACGGGATTCCCCTCATAGGTGTCCTTTGAGGCCAAATAGATGGCCCTAGTAGATGATTAAACCACCGGGTAAACAAAGGCCATCTATGATTCTACCAAAACAACCAAAGGACACTACATTTGCCCTCTTGCACGTCACCAACTGAAACTCACCTCGCCATTGTCTAAAACCTGGGAGAGGAAATCCTCGGGCCCAGCAATGGTCAGGCTTCGCGCAAAGTTATCCAAGGTGAGGGTCACCAGGCTTCGGGGGTCTCGTTTTTTGGAGTTGACACCCCTTGGTTTGTGGTTTTAAATGAAAACCAGCAGGAAAGCCACAATTTTGGGGATTCCCTGCAAAAAAAGTTTTGTAAAGGGAAACCAAGAGGACCACCGAAATCTATTTTGGGGCGCAAGTGTCACCAAATCAGACCGAACTTTCGTCCAACACTCGCCGGCTCCACAAGTTGCGGCTTCAGCCTGGGCCGACAGCTTTTGGGAAGTCGGATCCTGTCGCTTTCAGTCGCTTCCCGATTTGACCCGTGAGCCAATGCATGGAATTCCAAGGAGTTGTCAAAATGCGGTATCCCCTCTAAAAGGCGGCACAAACTTAGGGGTCCTTGGTATCCCCCTTAAAAGGCGGCACAAAATTAGGGGTCCGTTTTGGTATCCCCCTTAAAAGGCGGCACAAAATTAGGGGTCCGTTTTGGTATCCCCTCTAAAAGGCGGCACAAAATTAGGGGTCCGTTTTGGTATCCCCCTTAAAAGGCGGCACAAACTTAGGGGTCCGTTTTGGTATCCCCCTTAAAAGGCGGCACAAAATTAGGGGTCCGTTTTGGTATCCCCCTTAAAAGGCGGCACAAAATTAGGGGTCCGTTTTGGTATCCCCCTTAAAAGGCGGCACCAAATTAGGGGTCCGTTTTGGTATCCCCCTTAAAAGGCGGCACCAAATTAGGGGTCCGTTTTGGTATCCCCCTTAAAAGGCGGCACAAAATTAGGGGTCCGTTTTGGTATCCCCCTTAAAAGGCGGCACAAAATTAGGGGTCCGTTTTGGTCCCCCTAAAAGGCGGCACAAAAGGGGTCCGTTTTGGCATCCCCCTTAAAAGGCGGCACAAAATTAGGGGTCCGTTTTCCATCCCCCTTAAAAGGCGGCACAAAATTAGGGGTCCGTTTTGGTATCCCCCTTAAAAGGCGGCACAAAATTAGGGGTCCGTTTTGGCATCCCCTCTAAAAGGCGGCACAAACTTAGGGGTCCGTTTTGGCATCCCCCTTAAAAGGCGGCACAAAATTAGGGGTCCGTTTTCGTTTTGGCATCCCCCTTAAAAGGCGGCACAAAATTAGGGGTCCGTTTTGGTATCCCCCTTAAAAGGCGGCACAAAATTAGGGGTCCGTTTTGGCATCCCCTCTAAAAGGCGGCACAAACTTAGGGGTCCGTTTTGGCATCCCCCTTAAAAGGCGGCACAAAATTAGGGGTCCGTTTTCGTTTTGGCATCCCCCTTAAAAGGCGGCACAAAATTAGGGGTCCGTTTTGGTATCCCCCTTAAAAGGCGGCACAAAATTAGGGGTCCGTTTTGGCATCCCCTCTAAAAGGCGGCGCAAAATTAGGGGTCCGTTTTGGTATCCCCCTTAAAAGGCGGCACAAAATTAGGCGGCGCAAAATTAGGGGTCCGTTTTGGTATCCCCCTTAAAAGGCGGCACAAAATTAGGGGTCCGTTTTGGTATCCCCTCTAAAAGGCGGCACAAAATTAGGGGTCCGTTTTGGTATCTCCCTTAAAAGGCGGCACAAAATTAGGGGTCCGTTTTGGTATCCCCTTTAAAAAGGCGGCGCAAATTTGGGGGCCAGTTTTGGTATCCCCCTTAAAAGGCGGCGCAAAATTGGGGTCCGTTTTGGTATCCCCTTTAAAAAGGCGGCGCAAAATTGGGGGCTAGTTTTGGTATCCCGTTTAAAGGCGGCATATATGGCCGTGGACCAAAATGGCACGGTAGATCGAACGAGAGACTCAAACCTACGTAATTCCGGCTCTTTAATTCGGAGCCGCACCCATATTGGAATTCCGAGGAGTTGTTAAGATTAGGGTCCTTTTTGGTACCCTGTACTGTAAAAGGCGTCACCAAGGCCCAAAATGCGGTCATATTTTCGACAACCGCACGGATGCAGTGGGGACAAGTTTAAAGCGCAATGGACCCATCCGTGGGCATTCGCATCGAGATTGGCCACCGTGTGTGACGTTTCGCTGTCTGCTTCTCGACCCCAGTCGCAGTATAGGCAGCAAAATGCATGCTGACGGCGCCGGTCAGGTTCAGCGCTTTCAAATAACGGTACATCTGGGCTCTTTCGGTCGGGGTGTTTGTGTTGATGCCCAGGGCATTATGATCAAACTGATTCCAGCACTTCGTCAGCAGGGGCTGCCATCCTTTTTGTTCGAAACTGGACTGTTCTTGATCCAGTACACCTTGAATACAGGCCACTTACCACGTCCATTGCCCGTGCTGTGCCGGCAGGCCAGGCCGCAGCACATGCTGTGTGATGCATTTGATTAGTTGGCCATCAGACTTGACACCGAAGAAAGGTGATCCTGGCATCACCGTTATTGAGCTTCTTTGTAATTTTCTTGTGTGTGCTGGAACCCGGTTACCAGTTGTTTTCCATCGTGACCGCATCAAGACACTCACCAGCTTTCGAGACTATGACTCAACCGATGCTGGTATGCTTCCCCCAAGTGCTCGTGGGGTTGGTTATCAGGCTGAAACTCTCCTTACGCAGCAGCTCGTTGCTATGACTCGTGTCTGTACTTTGCCTAGCTTTCAACAGAAAAGCCTGCATGATAATCCGCTTCATTATCCCATACGCAAATCCGTTGTCGCTGCGGTTCGCCCACAGATTCCCTACCTTGAAGCAACACTCAGACTGTTGGTGACATACAATTGCACTTGTACCTCGGACACGGCCGCTGGTCCGATTGAGCTTCCGGCTGGCCTCGCTTCGTACGAGCCACCGACCCTTGAAAATGAGGACCTGCCAACTCCTCAACGGAAATGGCAGCTTGTGAAACACAGGAAGGTGGCGCGGCAATAGTCCCTTTTGGCCTCTCCTGCCGTTAGTGTGCCTGTACAGCTTTTACGTGCGCGCCCCCACACCTGGCAACGACCGAGGGTGGCTGGGTAGCGGACGCATGACCGTCCGCAAGCTGGGAGAGAGAGAGAGAGAGAGAGAGAGAGAGAGGCCACCGTGTGTGAGGGTCTCCATGCATCTCTCGCGGCGATCGCACGTTTTATTCCTACAAGACCTTTTCGGTGAAAGGTGGCCTTCAATCAGCGCACCTGGTAAGTGTTCATTGCTTTCTCCCTTGGTTTATGCTATTTGACTGCTGCCTGGATTTGTTCAGATCGAAACACCTGATCAACTTACTTTTGTGGGTTCCCTTACAACGATCGCCACTTGTGGAGGTTCCACCAAAAGAACACTTTCATAAGGTCGTTCTAGCAAGCACAAGCAAAAGTGTGTGGTGGCAACGAAAACAGTTCTAATAGCCAACGGCCACGTCGGCTATCTCATACAACATCAGCCAAAAGGCTGAGTAGAACACCAGCTTTGGGGGGGGGGGGGAGTAGGGAGCCCTCTTTTGGCCCAAGGGTCTGTCTCCCAGTTCCAAAACTGAAGCTTCTGGAAACCAAACATGGCCATGGGCTCAAAACCAAATCGGTTAGCCCCCAGTGAACGGGACCCAATCCAACCAATCTAATAGGTTCTAAAATGGGTGGTGCACCGAAACCCCAACATGGGATCCCAAGACGGTTTTGACAACCACAGCCACATGACGCGAGGGTAAGGTGCATATGCCCCCCTTTGGTGCAGATCGACTTAGGCAATCGGACCAAAATGACCGGCCTACCTTGCATGGACCACTCCACGAGTTGCTCCAAACGGCTCAGCGACTTTGACGGCAGTCTGAGTTGTCCGGTGACCCTGGGAAAAAAAAGGGAACCCTTTTGGGGGCTTGGACCATTTTGAGTGGGCAGCCACCCAAAGAAAATGGAGCAAGGGTGCCGCAGTGGCAACATCTCAGCCACTGCCGGGAGCCAGCCTACGCTGGCCGCTGGCCCAAGAAATGCTTCACGACATGTAAGATCAATTCGAAGACCCCAATGATTTCGTCAGAACCTCAAAATAAGAATTTCAATGATCCCCAGAGTTCCTCACAAACCCCCCCAAAAAAATGCGCAGAGTTGCCAAGGATGCAACTCACGCCGCCTTTTCTGTGTCCATGGGCTCCCTTTGAGGGTTGCCAAGGTTCCGACGCACAGGGGCCACCACTGCGGAGGGGCTTCTAAGTTTTTGTCTCGCCGGTCGCGTGTCGGTGACCTTTGTGGGCCCCAAAAGACGTGTGGCTGGGGGTCAAAAATCGGGTAACCCCCAAATGGCACCCAGTAAATGGAAACAAGGTTCCTTACATTATACCTGAACAGTGCCTTGTACATGGTGGTTTCCCTTTGTTTTGCAAGTGGAAAAGGCCATGCTTCAAATGGGCAAGATGTATCTTTTAAGGAGCCCTGTGGAAATAATGACTAAAACCTGTGGTCCACATCCTGGTGATTTAATTTTGACCATACCCATGTCTTGTGGCATCCTTGGGTTACGATGCTACCGGAAGTGGCAGCCCAAGCGGCGCGAAAACCCAAGTGAAGCCAAGAACCAAAGCCGTGGCTTGGGCGCCGCGAAAAAGCCCTGCGCTGAAACAATGAGAGTCCCGCTTCCAAAGAGCGCAAGAAGGTTGACCACTTCAGCGATGTGGGTGTGGGTCAAAATTAAAGCGCCAGGATATGGACCGCAGGTTTTAGTCTATGTACTAAGGTTCCAAAATGGATACCCATTTTAACCCACAGCCATGTTATTTCAAGATCCAGACACTCAGTTGCCCAAAGGCCCCAGAAAGCAAAACTCGACCCTTTGGTTGTCTAAAAATTGACCAAACTGGGGACACGAAAAGGTCAAAAGCTCGGCTTTGGGATACCTTGAGGATATGTTGGGAATCAATGTGCCAGGTTTTGGCCAAGAATGCCATCAAGTCATGTAAAGCTGTTAAGCGATGTTGAAAGAGGTCACTTGGCCAGGCGGATTTGATTGGACCCCTGCCAAAAATAGGGAATCCCCAAAATTTGATGGTTTCCCGGTTGATTCGCCAACCCCAAAAAGGGTAAAATAGCCTCAAACAACACGGCCCCATAAAGGAACCCCTTTGGGGCCGAAAGGGCCATCCTGTGGCGATGGTCAACCTACCCCTCCCCTCTCCGCCAGGTCCCCAACAAGTCAGATGCTTTGGGGCCTGAGCCGGTCCCGCCGGGGCAACTTGCCTTACTCCATCCGGCTCGGGGTCAAGCACGGATCTCCGCAATGGACGGTCCATACTGTGGATGGTTGCGAAATCCATTTCGCACCACCCAAGAAACCCTGGAATGATGACTCCCTGTAAATACCAACAAACACTGGTTTCCAGAGGTTGTGCTGGCTTTTATGGTATATAAATTAATGTATTGGTATCACAATGTTTATGTCAGCATTGGCTTCACTCCCCGCTAAGATACTCGCAAACTCCCGAAATTTCAAGCGCTTAAGCCTTAAAACCAGTTGCCGCGATTCGAGTTTCGAGTCGCCTCCCAACCTGCAGAGTCCGCGACTTTGGGGCGGGGGTAGGTAACTATAGGTGTCCTTTTTGGGAAAATAGATGGCCCCGGTAGTTGATTGAAGCACCAGGTAAACCAGGAATCGCCCTCTATGTTTCATTCAAAACAACCAAAATAGAAGGCTACCATTGGTAGGTAAGACATTGAACCCCTGTTTGTGACATGGCTGTCTTTTCTTTTTTGCGCGCGCCCCTTTTTTGCGGCTCAAAGGGCAAAGGGAAGCCAGGATAACCCCCCCTCCAGTGTGGGTCTGGCGCATGTCAGATGACCCATATTTAACTCTTTGTTGCTTGAGGAGATGCGCAAATTGGAACCCGTCCCAACATGTTGTGTTTTCTTTTGAGATGTGGGTTGCCTCAAGACCTTACCAACACTCTACCACTGGTCACTAGCTCATGTGATCTCATCGTTAGACCATTCGTAAAGGCTAGCCGTCGGCATGGGCAAGTCGAAACGGGAAAGGCAAAAGAGATGTGTCAAAACTAGAGCTTGTCTTTGTGATGGTGTTTCCATTTCAATCAGAAAGGATTCACAAGCTATTTTTTGATCAACGCGGGGTACAGAATTTGAGAAGGCGAGTGGAGCCTTCACTGAGAAATTCCTCCCAAATCCGGGATGATTCATCCGGGGACACTGTGTTCCTAGTTCATCCCAGATATGGAAACGAAACCGCCTGCCATGAAGGTTATCTTGCGACCCCTTTGTTCCAAGTACCCGGGCTGTCCGCAGGCTAAAACCTAAAATTCGTGGTGGGTTCAATGGAGCCCCCCAATCCAACCAAACCAAACAAGAGGAAACCAACCAAAAACAAAAACCAATAAACAAAGAACCAAGACCAAAGTCTTTCCTTCCCCAATGAATCAACCAAAGCCAAAAGGAGGAAGGCTAAAAACCGAAGCAAGCGGATGGCTGCTGCGTATCAACTCGAAGCTCCAGTCCGAGAACCCGGCCCCGTGCATCACGTCCCTCGCGGGCAGTGCTCCGCGGGCATTTCCTGAGCGATGGCAGTCTTAGGGTCGAAAACTGGGTCGCTGCAACCAACAGGTCCAATGGAGAAAAGAAAACGGCACAAAAAGCTTGGGTCCTTTTGGAACCAACTCTTCTCCATTGGACCCCTCTGCAACATTGATTCACTTTAGGTGGGTCCAATGGGGGGAAAAAACAAACACATGGTGCTTCCCGAAAAGTTAAAGTCCAAAGATCCAACTTAGTAACCACAAAGAAAACGCCGCAGTTTTGATGGGCGAAACCCAGCCGGAATAAGCTACAAGATTTGGTCCATCCATATTGTGTGCGTGTTTGTTTTTGATGGTGCTTGTTTGAGGGTGGTTGGGGGGTCACCCTTCTTTGACCCAAACCCAAATATCGGAATGAAATTCAACTAGGCATCCCTTCCTGGCCATCATTTACCAAATTGATGTCCACCCACCAGGATTTGTTCAGGCTTTCAAATTGAAAATGTGTAACCGTATCTGAAGCCATACATGTTGCTTCCTTTCAAGGGAACCCCTTTGTTCCTTGTTCATGTGCGAGGGAACCGCGTAACCCTCCTGAAACCCAATTCCGGTATGCTGAAACGCCTCTGTGGATGGACCAAACCCGCAAAACGCAGCAGTTGTGTGGTTTCAGTATAAGGCTTCATCCATCCCAACTGGTGCGATTTGTGGATTTTGTCCATCAGGGGTCGCTGGCTATACACCTGACATGAAAGGAACCTGCGTTGCAAGAACCTCTTGTGTGGATGGACCTGCACTAAGAAACCCTGGTTTCGGACTTGATTCCACCAACAAACGTTGCTGTCATGGTGCGAGATGGATTTTGTCCGTCCATAGTATTTGCCCCGGTCAATGGATTGACCATTCTCCTAGCCCTCAAATCAAAACGGAGCCCAAAAAGGGGCGCCCGATAAACGTGGGATGACCATTGGGATAAAACCACTAAGATGATCTCTCTCACATGGAAAAAGCTATCCATGGTGACTTGGGGGCCAGGAGTATTGAGCAATCCGCATCGTGATCAAACTGAAACTAAAGCCTGCCATGGTCGTTTGTGGCTATCATGGGTTCCGGATACTGGGATTCTCTGATGATCCAGCGTCACGAGAATTGAATGTCACCTGCATGTTGAAAATTCACCCCCTTCTCGAGCGGCCCTTGAGCTGTCGGAGGCGCTGCGTGGGAAGACGATGAGGCCAGAGGCGCCGCCATGGGGGCCAGAACTTGAACTGCGGCAGGCAGGCAGCTCTTCTCTTCTCAAAGCTGCCGTTTGGCAGCCTGGAGCCAGCCCATAGGCTTGTCGTCGCCCCATTTGTCTCCAGGGCTCGCTTAGCAGCAGGGCTCGCCAGAGAAAATGACAGCGAGACGTGGCTGCGTCACAGTCCAGGGCTATCGCGCTGCGAGACCTCTGTATGCATGTGGTCAACCAACTCGACTTCGCCCATCTCCGCCAGTCGGGTCAGCAGGCCTTCGATCAGCAAGTGAAACAGTGCCCTGCGCCAACAAAATGATCGATCGTTGGACAATAGATGAGCCAGCAAATAATTTAGTTGGTAGTACTTTTGGAAGTGTAGTAAAAGGCGTAGACTCACTAAATGGAAATAAAGTGGTTTTGAAACTTGCATCAACACAAACGGACACAAAGTGTTGTCAATAGTTTGTCATCAGTCGGCGAAACTCTATCGTGCACAGTTGTGACGCGCACGTGATATATGACTGGCTGGTGATGTTGGAACAACATCATTTGGACAGGTTTTATCATTGTGTTATCATTTTGTGCAGTAAAACAACAGTGCATGGCTTAAATCGCGGAAAATGATAATGATCTCAGGCCAAAACAGGGCAGACAGGCCCAACTGGAGTGGCAGTTCCCGCGAGGGCCCACCAGGTTCTCAAACGTGGGTGGGGCTCAAACACTACGGATCTGTACTAGTTGTTGCTAGAACATTGCGCCGCACTTCCCACAAACGTGAAATCTGCAGGAGGCCCCCTGCAAGACCGTTTCCCGTGAACAGACCCTCTGTCAGGTTCCATGTTAGGAGGGCTTCATGTTAGGCCGTTCTCCCCTTTGGATTGAACCCAAGTGACCTATATTCGACGCCATGATGTCCCGAAGAGGATTTCTAGCTGCCCAGCCAGAGTCAAAACCAGTTGGACAGCTTCGCCTTCTAGGCCTCGTTTTTTTGTTAGGGGGCGAAGCAGTTCACAGGGGTCACTCTAGGGGTAACTTCCAATTCCATTCTTTCCAGGCATCCTTCTTTCTAGAAAACCACCCAAAGGGGAAACGGCTGGTTTTTGGAAAAGAACCATGGCTGAAAAGAATGGGGAATCAACCCCTGGAGTCACTGGATTTCCCCTACAAACATTGGTCAATTTGCTGTAATTTGCTGGAGATGTCCATTGAAAATGCCACCTTTGGAGGTTCCCTGGAAAGGGAAATGGCTCGGACACCCTTTTTTTTAGCTTGGTGAAGCAGTCCAAGGGGCCACCGGTCCCAGATTCAATGGATGCGTTGGTCACTTGGCTGCGAAGCAAACACCACCGGCTTTACAAGGCCATCTAAATCAGCTGGCATTTGGGTGAGTTTCGAACTAACCGGCCCAAATGCATCTAACTTGGCCCACATCTGGGTACACTGGTTCTTTTTCGCATTGTCTAGCCTATCGTGTTGTTTTTTGTTTAATAAACAAGAGGAAAAACCACAAGGAAAACCACCATTCTGGGCTGTCCTCAGATCCCCTGCTAAAAGCTTATCTTTTAGTGGCTCAATTGCAAACCCCCACTAGACCCTAAACATATTACAACCTCAGGGAATGGCTGCGAACTGCCAAGCCTTTCGAGGGCTTTTTCCCCAAAAAATCGGCGAGCCGCCCAAAGGCAAAAAACCGCTTGGGGCCGCCCGGCACCACGATGCCGCTGCTGCTTGCCGCCTCCTCCCCAAAGGATCGGACCTGGAATGAATTGAGACGAGAAATATTGGTCTCTGAACTTCGTGGGTGTTTTGGGGGGTGCCAGGTTTTTGGGTTGGTTAAAAGCGAATCAAAAGGACCCCCAGGAATTTGGGTCGCATGTCGACGAAGATATCCTGGGAGTCTGGATGCGCGCACAAGCGCTGCGAGTGTAACATCGTACCACCGGAATTGTGTACCTTGTTGACAAAAACCAGACCCATTCAGTGGTCTACTTAAGTTCATGTTGTCCTGCCCCCTTGCAATACCAGGGTTTGTCTGCAAATAAAGCACGTCGGTTGGTCTCTCTTTGGTTGACAGATGTGGATTCAAATCGTACCCCCAGTGAGCATCCCAATCCAACCACTAAAATAGGTTCTAAAATGGGTGGTGAATTCACCTAATTAATTTTGACCCACGGCCATGTCCAGATTCTCTCCTTCCGCAAACCCCGGAGTTGACCAACGGCTTGAGATGCATCAGTTCAGCACTGTGGGGTTTGGAGCACCGCCCAACCTCTTCTCATGGGGGCTGGGGGGAGGGAGGGGAGGGGGAGGGAGCCCAGATAAGCCCTAAATAAGGCCTTCTCTTCGGGCAGTTGGGAGTTTGGACATGGAAAGGCGCGGCTAGGTCCTCCAGTAGAGAGCTTAGAATAAGGGATTATAGTAGGGGAACCCTCCAACCAAAAAAGGGTAAAAGGGCACTGCTGGGGGACCTGGGCAGTTGTGGGGGACCCGGGTGCTGGGTTCTTGTCTAAAAAAGGCAACCCCTTTTACGAGCTCTTGACGCCCGGAAGCTACTCATGGTGTACCCCAGAAGCTGCCCGGCGTCCAAGCCGAATATTTTTTGGGACACGGCCAGTCGGTGGATGGACAAAGTCCACTTCACTTTAGTTGGCATGGAGAAAACTTTATGAGGGGATAAGCTGATAAACCACCAATCTCAACTGACGGGCGTGGATTTCCTGATGTCTTCCACATGTCCTCGGGATAGTTGGAGCCAGGCCCTGCCAGAGTTCTGGCCTCCCAAAACCAAAGCCATGCCAAAGATTGGATGCTACGGTGTCCGGAAGTCAACTTAGTTACCCTCCCACCATTTAGCACATGGAACCTGACCTGCGCATGCTCCTTGTCAAGGGATCCCCGCAGGTCTGGTTCCATGTGAAAAGGCTGGGAGGGGAACTGGGGAGAACCATCACATAAAGACTTGTCAACATGCTGAAGGGAATTTTGTTATAACGGATGAGGTGGAGGACAATCCCCGTGGAGCGGGTCCTAAGTGTGGCAGGGGGCCTGGCGCGCAGTGTTGACTGGCCAACAAGTTTGAACTTTTGGGGTCCTTACATAAATGATGCACAAACTGATCGACACAAGGCTTGACCTTTGCCAACTCAGACGGCAAGTGAAGAGGATCCCAAAACCTAAAAGGGATTCCCCCCCCCAAGGATCCCGAAGCCTTTCAGAGACCCCCCCAAAAAGTGAGCGCCCTGAAAGTGACGCCCGGGGTCGTCAGAATCTCAGCACAGGGCCAGCTGCTGCTGGATGTTCCGCAGGGACTGCATAAAGACCTGAGTGACTCGAGCAATCCGGCCAAGAAATGCCACGCAGTTCTGTTTCGGCATGTGGATTTGCTCAAAGGAAAATGGGATGCACCTAAGAAACCCTGGAATGATGATTCACCTGTAAATACCAACAAAAAATGGTTTCCCAGGGTTCAAATTCGTGCGAAATGGATTTTGTCCATCCACAGCATGACCACGTAACACCACATAGGCGTGAGTCGTGTACATACCCCATTGCGCATGACTGATAGCAGTGCACACCCTCTTATCTCTTCGAGCTTTCAAGTTGGGTCCAGCAGCATCCAATGTTGACGTCAACTGACAGATGTTCATCCTGCTCGGAAACTCACTGGAAACCCTACTGTGGATGGACGAAATCCATTTCGCACTGCAGGATTTCGTCCATCCACACTATTGGCGTGAGTTTGACGAGTTTGCCTGAACATGGTGTCTGACCGGATATCTGATTCATTGGATGTCGTATGTCCAGGTCAATATGAGTCGGAATCGCGCTGAGGTCAAGGAAATCAACAAACATGAAAGCAGTGAACTCTGCACATGTCCAGTATACATTTGTCACAATGGGAACTGGTGGTTTGCAAGTTAGCATGTTTGCCATGAACACCATGCCGCTAGCCATTCCTCGTGAGAGGATCATACCACCCCCTACCACTTGCATTCCAGGGCTTCTTGCATGAACCCTTGGAACGTCAGCCCAACGTAGGGAACCTTATCTAAAGTGGGAAAAGCGCACAGGGCAAGGCTAAAAAGCAACATCTCGATCACCCTTTGTGAATCAAATCCCAAACGAGTAGGTACGGCGAACAACCAAGTCCATCCCAACCAATGCACCCTTCCTGGATTGATGGCATCAATCCGAATTCCCCAATGAGAAAACCATAATTCTCAGCGATGAAACACGGGTCGCAGCATATTCAACAAGAATTCCAAAACCTGAGAGAAGGGATTCCCAAGCAAAGGACGTACATGGCGAGCTCGGTTTACCCCTGAACTCGCCACAAAATGAAATAGGCAAATGCAACTTGACGAGGGTTTTCCCCTCCCGAGTCATAAACACTGGCTCCTTTCAGAGTTCCCGAACAATAGCTATGCAAAGGTCTGAAAACTAGTCCGGCGGGACTCGAATCAAAAAATCCGCTTGAATTTGGCATTTCAAAATGGAGTTGGCCAATCCAGTCCAGAATCCCTGTGAGGAAATCAATATAGAAACGATAGAACGGGGTCAATTGAAGTAAGTTGCCCGTAATCTTGGGGTAAGCCGCCTTGCGGAGCCTTACGCCCACATGGGCCACTATGATCACCCCCCTCAATCACAAGTTTGGAACCCTGCTCAACGCTCAACTGTGTTCGCCTCTGCAAGCACATTGCACAGCGCAAAGTTGTAAAACGCAACGCGCATCCTAAGTATTCTCAACAACGCCAACTTATCCTATCGTAGCCCAAGCAAAACATACATATTGTTTGAGTCTGGCCCTTGTTGAGTGAACTTTAACACAGACACACGCGCACGTAACCCAAAACACCACCAGAGATCCCAACGCCCTCGAGCGCCTCTCAATCCCGAGTACCGTGGCTGTAAGGCGCGACAGCTCGTAGACCATCAACGCATACCTGCGAATTCCAGAGCCACAATCAAAACCCGGGTGGATGAAGGTTAGTAAGGGGCAGTCCCAGCCAGAAATAGTTGCGGCCGCCTTGTTAATTCTTTACATGATTCTGGGTAGACCATTTTGATACCAGGTTTTGATTGTGACTCACTTGGTCTTCTGAAGGGGCCCGGCCCGGGGCCGCCGACTTTTTCCAAGGTAAACGCCATGCTTTTGTTGGAAGCCTGATCAGTGGACTTGGGTAGTTGGTATGCGAGCAATCCGCGGGGGAATTGAAGTTGTGTACAAAGGCTTGCCCAGGTTCTTCTTTCATGGCAATATGCATGTGCTCAGTGAGCTGGTAAATAATTACCTGGATCCAGGTTCCTCTTGCGCAACAAGTGTCACTTTGGTATGTGTGTGAAATATACATTGTCCCAACAAGTTGAAGGTTAACACTTCCCAAGGCAATCTGAGGAGACCCCCCAGCAAAGGACTTCATGGGGGAACCCCCTAAAATTTTGCCCTCGATAATTCTTCAAAGTAACATCCTCAAGCGCACCCTCCAAATTGGGATTTAAAGGGGAACCACTGGGTCCCATGGGGTCTTGAGGTATAAAACCCAAAAATGATTGGTGTCCCTTTTGTTTCCCTTTGGAAACCAACCAAAAGTGAATGCGCCCGAAACCAATTGACTTTGGGTTCTACTCACATGATTCGCAAGATTTATATAGGGACTACTACAATCCCTATTGAACCAGGTAGTGGAACCACCTAAAACGGCCAATGGGAATCGGGTTTGGGCGCTGCTCAAATGGTGTTCCTAAACCTTTTATAACGATTTTGGTAGACACAACCTCGCTGGGTGTTGGGACCGCGCTGCTTGGGACCCCAACGCAAGACACCCCCCGAAACAAAAAAACAAGTCCACTGGATTTCCCCTTCAGAAAGTCGCACGCGACTGATGGTTTCCATTGAAATGATCGCAACTTAGGAGGTTCCAAAAAGGGAAGTGGCTCGGAAACCAAGAAAACATGAGGCTTGAATACGCCCTGAATTTTGCCTTTATTTGGGCTCACAGCCCCCTCCCCTCCCCTGCTCCCCCCCCCCCACGCCCAGGTCCCATGAGAAAAAGGACCACAAAAGATCCGTCCATAGGTGTCCTTTTAGGGGAAATAGATTGCTTTCCCTGGTAGATGAGAAAAAACCACCAGGTAAACCAGGAATCGAAACCCATCTATTTTTCGAGCAAAACAACCAAAAAGGACACCTATGAGTCTGCCCCCTTTGCTGGGAGCCCATGCTGGTCCGGTTCCGCGGCCGCGTGGGCAGGCTGCAGGTAGGTCAGCGCTCTGCACCTGGAACCGCCGGGTGAGTCATCTGGATCCCCCAAAAATGTTGTCTTTTTGCGTTTCCACTTTACTAGGCTGGAATTAGGACCCCAGCAACAAAATTATTTTTTTTTGCCTGGTTAGTGGAAAACAAAGGGACCCCCAAAGAAGCAACAAAACAAAAAGGGGAGCTAATTCTGGGGAAGTTTACATACCATCCAAAAAGGGCACGCTCGAGAACACAACACACTCAATTGGAAGCCTTCCGGGCTGCTGAGTGTAAGGACCCTGGGTTGGTTCAATGAGTACGGACGCTGGGTTGGCGGAAAGTTTTTCAGGACCCCAACCAAAACCACAGGAAGCAAGTTGAATGTGGTGAATTGACCCGTCCTGTTTCAAAAGGCCAACCCCTGCTGAGGGACCTGATAGGGCTAAGCACCAGCTTCGTTTTGGAGGCTTAAGTCGTAATCTCCTCGCAACTGTCTTGCACTGCGCACAGCCGGACAGTCCGACTCCAGGTCTGTCAAAAACTGACTGGCAGTCTCTGTCAGCTCCCTGATGTGTCCGCACCAAAGCAAGTGCGTGAAAGGGCCATGCCACGTGCATCCAGAAAAGCAGCCACTCATTGTAGCAACGGCGCACGACTGCTTGGACAATTCGTGCCTTCCATGGTGGCCGAGGGCGCTATGAGACCCAAGTTGGACATGAGAAAAAGTGAGAAAAGCGTTGGAGCAACCAGACCCTTGTCTGTTTGAATGGGTTGTGCTTGACCATGTTGTTAATACCAACCTATGCGTGGGGTACGGCATAGAAATCTGTTCACTGATATACTTATTCTATGCTCAGCATACCATACTTCCGCAGATTATATGACTTGGCCCAACCCCGGAATACCTGAACAAGACATCTACAGATTCTGCTTCATACTGTGGATGGACGAAATCCTGCACCACCTAAGACAGCTTGGAATGATCATTCCCCTGTAAATAACAACAAACCATGGCTTCCCATGGTTTCAAAGTGGTGCAGGATTTCGTCCATCCACAGTATGTAGCCAACCTAAACATTAAAAACAAAAAATGCCACACCGGAGGACACCCCAAAATACCTTGCGATCATGTCCCAGCCTGCGATCTGCCAGGACATCTGGTGAATGGAACAGAAAGGGGGGCGCCCTTGCGGGCTGTTGACGTTGCTTGGCCGACCAACAGGGGTGCACCTTGTACATGGCAATCCCAAAAAGGAGGGTCTGTCTCCAAAACCTGGTTTTCCGGCCATCTAGCCTTCAACGCCGGGGGTTGGGCCTCATATGTCGTGGCCGGCCAAAAAGGCTGAATCAAAACAAAAGAGATCCCAAAAAAATCACGGGGCCTACTCCGACCTAACTTCTCGTGCGTCACAATCACATCTAGTAAAGGAGCCGATCCAAATCCACGTTGAAGAATCAAGAGGGCAAAAATCCTAGCCGCACATATTTATGGCAAGGCGGCCTGGGTTCCCAGTTCGCACCCTTTAGAGGCTACCCTTTTTGCACCACTTTAGGGCTCCTCTGTTGGGTGTGCCGTTCTTCGTTCCATACCCATGTTGTAGGAACAACTTCTTTTTCAGAGCATGAAAAGGACACACACACACACCTCCAAAACGGGGGTCGGGTTCCAAGCCATTTGGGTATGAGTCAAAATCAACTCCGCAGGGGACAAAAAAACAGGTTTTAGTCCATGTGTCCATTTACCAGGTTTCCATTTTGGGGTACCTATTTTTGACCCACCGCCATTTGGAGACAGCCCAAAACGCCTTAGACCGACCCAGTTTTCAGGCCCCGGCGCACCATTGCACCTGTGAGCATTCGGGTGGACCGCGGGGTGGAATGGGCATCTCATGGAGATGAGCTGCGGATGGTTGCGACATCCATTTCGCGCCACCTAAGAAGACATTGGAATTCTAGGGGTTGATTCCCCGTTCTTTTCAACCATTGTTCTTTTCAAAGCCGACCGTTTTGTTTGGGTTTCTTGTGGGTTTCTAGAAAGAAGGATTCCTGGAAAGAATGGGGAAGGTACCCTTAGAGGAATGATGATTTCCCTGTAAATACCAACAAACAATGGTTTTTCATGGATTCAAAGTGGTGTAGGATTTTGCCCATCCACAGTATTTCGGGTTCAACCAGCCAAACCGTTCAGAAACGGAGAAATAGATCATCACATCCTGTTGGAGCACATGTTTTAAACACCTTACAAACAAGAGATTGCTGAAGTTGTTCAACGAACAAACCATCAAAAAAAAACGCTAAAACCAGGAGGTGGCTGAACTGAGGTGAGTTTGGTTTTCTTGCCATGGAGCAGCAGTGGCCAGTATCTCTGGACCAGCTGGTCCAACCCCGCAGCGATTGAAATGGCTCTGCTCGTCTGTATTTTTTTCAGATCCCCTGCTAAAGCGTTCATTTAACTTGGGCGGAATGGACATCCTACCACCTACAAACGACGAAAAACACCTAAGTTGAAGACCATGCAATTTGAGGCTTGGTGGATCCACCTAAATTGTTGCGGAGGGGAACCTAGTTGCCAAACGAAATGAGTCGATCCACCTAAATTGTTCCTCGAAAAACCTAAGTTGAAGCGGATGGGGTCCCGACGGGCAGACAACAGCTCCCGACCGGCAAGGAGTTGCCAAGCGGCCAACTCATCCGGGAACATATTCCATTGGCACGGGAAAGGGAACTCCGAAGGAAACTGAAATGCCATGCGTCAGGGTCAACGTTAACTTTGTGGACGGAGGCAAAACCTGGGATGAACGTGGTTCACCCAGAATCATGAGTAAAGAACTCAAAAGGGGGCTGGACCCATTTCTGGCTGGGAGTTATCCCTTACTAACCTTCGTGTAGCCGGGGTTTGATTGTGTCTCAACTGTTGGACAAACGAACAAGCGGGGATACCGAGGGAGCGGGGATATGGGGTGATTCCCTTGGCGCCATTTCCCATGTCAAACTTAGTCAAGGTGTATTTAGGGGGAATCCTCCTGTGTCCCTGGTTCCCTGTATCCCCTGGGTGTTGAACTCAAAGTATGCTGGCAAACACTTCGTTTTCTGCCGTCCGCTTGAAAAGAGCACCAAACAAGTAGTTCTGCGCAGGCAGAAACCCCAACCGCCTGGTTCGGAGAAACACAGAGCCACAAACCCTTGCCCAGTGGAAAGGGGCAAACGGCTGGCTCTTAAATTTGGAGCCACACCCATTTCAAGTGCATAGGTATCCATTTTAGGTTAGTTTGGTTAAACAAAATAAATGGCACTGGTTTAGATGGGGCTTATTCCATTTGCCAGGGCAATCTATTTTTCCAAAAGGCAACCCATGTTCAAGTGGGTAAATTCTAGAAAGGTGTGTGTTGCAGTGGCTCAGTGGTTGGCGTCTTTCACTTTTGTTTTCCAGTTGCCCCCCCCCCCCAAATTATATGAACATCGGGTGACCGCAGGTTTTAGTCTACTTTTCCATTTACCATATTGTTGAGCCACACCCTAAGAACAGTAAACGCAAGGTCCACGGAAACCAACCGACATCTCCACCTCTGGGCATTTCCCTGGACCAAGTTGGGTTCGATTCGCGGGCTTGCTTCACCTGGCGATGGAACATCTTTGGTTTTTGGCGCGGCACAAGGAGCAACCCTGACCGAGTTGGAAAATTGGCCAGACAACAGCAACATCTTTTCTCCGGATCGCCTCTTGTAGGTTCAATGGGAGAGGCGACTTGCGTCCAAAAGCTCTCTCCACAGCCTTCCGGGCCAAAAAAAAAGACCCATGGTCAACCAAGCCCCAACCCCGCACCCCCCCCCACACCCGATAAACCGATCAACCAACCCATAGCCCGAAACCCATCCCTCCATCTTGGGCTCTGCACCTGTCGCCCATCTTGGGGCCCGGCTCGCGAATCTGCACCACTCGCGTCTGGACCTCAGAAAACAAGTCTCAGGCTCGATCCTTTCTGGGCTATCCTCAGCTCCCCCGCTAGAAGTGACTAACTTTTGGTGGGCTAGATGGAAAACCCCCCACTAAACACTAAAAAGCTAAAAAGCTAAGGGGATGGCTGGAACCGCCAAGTATTGGCTCCAAAAGCACCCTTGCTGGAGGTCATTTGAGGATTCATGCCACCACTTCTGAGGTTTTTGTGCGATTTTTGGGCGGTCGCATGGAGGTGCGCACCCCCCCCCCCCACAAACAAACAGCAACTCAGCTTCCCCCCAATTGGTGGTTTGGAGGTTAGGGGGGGTTTCCCATATACTCTCTACAAGAACCAGGGGTTCGAATCCCCAAACCACCAATTCAACCTCAGCAATCACACAACCAAAACAAGAGAGGGAGTGATAAGCCACAAGCATTCAAGAACAACACTCCGAAAACCGCAACCCGCAATCTGCCTTGTTCCCCTAAAGCAAGTCCTCAACCCTTCAAGTAGGGCCGGTCTTGCATCTTGGGGTCGCCCATAGAGAGCTCCCCGTACGCTCGCGCCCGCTTTTTCTTTTCGCTCGCAAAACTCGACCAGCGGATGTGGGACCTGGCCGACAACTTCAGACTGACAATTCCGTGCATCCGCAAAATGGCCACATTTCAGGCGGCAACTCGTCAAGTGGACCTTTTTCGGTGATTTGTAAACGGGAGCGATCGAAGAGGGACCTGCTGCAAATTCACATGGAGGATTCCAAAAGAAGGTTTTTGTTGGGGGATTTGTTGAAGGTCCAGGAATGTGTTTTTTGTTTTGTTTTATGTTTGCCTAGTGGGACGCTTTTGGAACAGACCGACCGAAAGCAAGCCAAAGAAAAACGACCTGAACGGTAGCTGAGAGAAGCTTGCGGAGGAACGCACCCCCCCTCGTTAGAAAAAGTCGCGAGCCATTGGCGGGGACTTCGGACTTCCGTGGCACGTGAAATCCAGAGACACCACCTTTCGAAGGGGTTGATTCCAACCATTTTGAGGAACATTGTTATTTACTTGGCTAAGCCAAGGGATTTTGCTTGTTGAAGTCCATTATTTTCAAACATCGTTCTTTTCAAAAGATTCGTGTGTCTAGGCTGGGAAGCACCAGCTGTTTTTTTACCCAAGGTTTTTGGTGGTCCACATCTGAGATACACATAGTTGGCTTGTCCTAATCGGCCAATGTTTTTGGGGGGGTGTTTTTTTTTCTTTCTGACTGGCCCCAGTTTGTGTACTTCAAGGGATGCCCGGCGGCCGGGAGAAAAATGAGGACTGGGTTCCACTTGCTGAGAAGCCTCTTGCGCCAGCAACTCCCTCATCCATTTGATCCGCTGGCAATAGGTCCATAGCTTCGTTGAAGCAGCTTCTATGGTTTACATGTGGGTTTCGTCTTGTTGTCCCTGCTTTGTGGCTTTGAAGGCAAACCTAAAAGGAAAACCACCATCTTTGATTGACTTGCTTTTTAGGTGTTGCTTGTCTTGCTTTTTTTTTTGAGGGGGGGGAGGGCGCAGAACGACACAAAGCCATCGAATGGCTTGGTGCAGAGCTCAAGGGAACGAGCTGCAAAAGGGGTGAACATGCACCAAGCCATGATCTGATGAGAGGGTACCAACCCAGACCACTTGAATTTAAAGGGACATGTTTGAACAAGAAGGAGACAAGGCAAAACCGGACACTGGAGGTCTGGGCCACAGGCAAAAACTCTTAGGGATCTTCTCCGATCTCCCCCGCCGAAGCGAACACCGGACCTTCTGAGCTCATTCTTGCTTCCTGGAGAAAAAAAAGACGATGCGTCAAAGCAAGCGGCATGCAACATCTGCCTGTCCCACTCCCCCGCCCACATGACCTGAAAGGTCGGCTTCGGACTGAGCCCTTTTGAAGTCGTTTTGCCAGGATTGGAGTGCAGGGTTTAGGGTCTAGGGTTTAGGGAATATGTCGGTCTCGGAAGCCGATGGATTTGGAGTGCAGTCGGAGAAGTGCAACAATATCTCGGTCCTCGTGTGAGAGTATCGCCACCAGGAGTACAAGCAAAGAGCATTCGAGAGGAGCGTAAAGATCGTCCTGCGCCGAGCCGCGCGTCGTAAGTCACAAGCATGCGGACATGATTGACTTCCATATTGATTCAGCGTCCTTCCTTGTTCATGGTTTGGAGCCCGGTGGTTTCGTTGTTAGAGGAAGTTTCCCGTCACCCTCAAAACAAGAACCGGGCCAAACCACCAATCCAAACCACCAACTAGGAAACCTGACTACTTCCATACCGATTCAGGTGGCACAGGACTTCTGCCAGGGCTTTTTCAAAAAGGACCATTTGAGGGCCCTTGTCCCCTAAGAGAGGTCAGACCCTCGTCTGTGTAGCAAACCTTTCTTGAAACCCCGCAAAGCGCAAGCAACCATCAACTTAAGCAAATGAAAGCTTGTCTGTGCAACCTGGTCATGCCTCGCATGATCTCGCATGAGAGCATCCTAAAATTGGAACGCCCTTTTTATTTGTGTCTTGATTTTGCAATGGGCCTCTAATGTCTTTGCAATATATGGTTGGTCTGTATGCCCGTCGGCCCATGGAAGCCCTTGCATCCATGAGAGGATAGCAATCAGCTCCCCAATTTGTGGGTTGCGTTTCGCATTTGACATTTGCCCCCTACAAAACCAGGGCTTCAAATGGGTGTGTTTTTTGTTGGGGGACCCCCATATCAGTGGTGTTCCTTTTGGTTTTCCTTGAAACCACGAAAAAGGGGTAGCTCAGAGAAAAGACACACCCATGTGATAGCCTTTGAGGGGTCCTTGTGGTTCGAGTTTACCTAGAAGGGACACGGATCCCAAATCCTCAAGTGAGTCACAATGAAAACCTGGTATTAAAACGGTCGATCCCCAGAACCATGCTCAAGGCGGATTTCCGCGGCTATTTATGGCAAGCGGATTGTCCCTTACCCTTCGTGCAGTGGATCGCTCCTAGCCCAGAGCGGCAGCGTCGCCCGCCAGCCGCTGGCGGAAGGGTCGAAGAACCAGCGCCTCAAATGGATAGGCCGAGGGCGAACCAAAGGCAAAGCCAACCCTCGTGGCAGCAAACAATATTTTTCTTTTCTGGGCTGCCCTCAGATCCCCCGCTAAAAGTTTAACTTTTAGTGGGCTAAATGGAAACTACCACGAAACACTAAAAGGCTAAAAAGCTAAGGGGATGGCTGGGAGCCACCAAGTTTTTGCAGCCCGCACGAAACATGAACACCACCAAACAACCAAAAGACCTCTGCAGGAAAGAAAACAGGATTCGATTTCTGTGAACCCCAAGCCAAAAGCTTCAACACAAATACAGGTGGTAGCCCCTAGACGGAATCAGCTGAGCGGTGTTCAATATTATTCCTGTCGTGGCATGGGAATTTGGCGCGTAACCGGGAATTTGGGATGATCGTAAGTATTGAACGTGGCTCACATGCACAGGCTTGACCTGGCGGTTGGAAAACCCGCATGCCCAAACTCCAAGAACCCTTAGAACTCCTCAAGTTACCTTCTGCGCTGGTTTCGGAGCTTAGAACCATTTCTGGGAGAAGTTCGAAAATGCTCGGCAACGCTCTTTTCAGCTGTCTGGCGTTCTTCGAGGTGCCATGGAGAAGACATACCACCCTGCCAAGAAGACATTCGGCCCGCTCAAAATCACCTGCCATGGACCAATAGCCACAAAACACAAGCCCGGCATCCATCTCAAAAAGCCAGGGCAAGGGAGGTCCAACAAACCGCAGCTGGGAATTCCATGGACCCTACCTTTCCCCACTGACTTGACTGGTCTGCTCAGATTAGTTAGCACCCCTGTTTGTCAAGCCCCCGCTTAGTGCGCTCAGCCCCAACCCACAACAAACAAAACAATGACCGACGAGCCGTAACTGAGAGTTTACCATCGAGCTCCAAAGAAGTTGTCACCAACACAGAACTCGACACCTTTTGATTTTTGCAGCCCCAGACAAAAATGTCTAAAACCCAGAAGTGGAAGAAAGGACCCAGACCGCATTACAACACATTACTATTACCACTATTATTTCCAAACCACAAGTTTCAAGGAAGTCACAGCACCAAGTTGGAACCAAGCATTGTTCGTCCTAGGGTTGGCATTTGCCTAAGAAAAGCGCCCACACACACCCTTTGCCAATTAATCAAGCGGTCTACCCAGAACCATGCTTCAAGAATTCTGACTGCGGATTACCGCAGCTATTTATGGCAAGGGGATTGTCCCTTACCCTTCACCAATCCCCGTGGGTCAAAAATAGGTACCCAAAATGGAACCCTGGCAAATGGAACCAGAGACTAAAACCTGCGGTCCCCTGGTGGCTTAACTTTGACCCACCAGGTGTTGAGCACGTGGCTCAGGTGAGCTTTCGTTGAATGAACTTGGCGACGCTTTCTTCCGCCAGGGGGCGCAAAGATCCAGCGCGCCAGGCCCGAGGAGATGTTGTCCGTGGCCTCGGGGGCTCGGGGGCTCGGGGGCTCGGGGGCTCTGGGGCCGGTGGGCGGGCGTAAGGGCAAACGGGGCAGGGTGCGAGGCTGGGGTTGGGGGGTGGCTGAGGATTCCGTTGAAAGGGGTGGAGGGAGTCCATGTTCTCCAATCATAGATCTAGAGGTGTATTACCCAAGCCTTCTGAAACCCAGAGCAAATCCGCCGACGCCAGTCGAGCGTGTAGATGGCAGTCCGCAACTTGGTCTTCCTTCGGAATGTCTTATCAAAGCCGAAGGCTTTCGGGACTGCTACTTTTTGGGCATGCTGTGCTGGGTATCCAAAACCCTGTATTTTTCCAGTGCTTTTGGGTCTTGCGTGCTAAAAATCTGCGAATCGCCTAGGTCTCTAGGGGGGGGATTTCCCGCGGACGCGCAGGATCTGCATCCCCAGCATCCAAGTGCAGTGATACGTTGAGGAACTGTTGAAATTTGCAAACATGAGTGTTTTTTGCAATTCCCCACCTGTACGGAGCAGTTACTGCGAAACACCCCCTGCATTATCGTGCGTTTGGAAGTCTATTTTTAAGGGGGTTGCTAGATTCTGTTTTTGATGGTTGATTTTGGGAAATATTGAAAAGCCCTGTTTTTGTTTGCACTTTTTGGGGCTAGCCGGCTGCATTCCCAGCATTCCTGACATCTCTGGTATTTTCTGTGTTTGGTCAATTTTGCGTGTCTGAAAGTCTTAAAATTTTGGATGCAAAGATTGGGGGTGTTTTTGTATGTTGTGTGGTTGCATCCAGCATCCTCAGCATCTGGGACATCCCAGTTTATTAATAGGGGACTTCCCACTGGCGTCGGCGGATCACGTAGCGATTTCAATATGAAACCTGTGTAAAGCATGGGAGCCTCTGATCCCACATCGGATTGCATTTCCAGAAGTCCAAAAGAACTTAAGCAAAGGGGTCTCTCCAAATGGGGACGTCAACTGGATTCAAGTTTTCAGGGGAGGAAGGCTGGGCATTTCTACCTTTGGGCTGGCTTAAATGAGCTGTCTTGTCTTCGTGTCGTGCTAAACCCTCCGCAGCCAGGGGTGGTTGCCCGTTGGGAGTCACGGTCTGCGATGCACTGATCAAGAGAGCACAACTCAGTCAGGAAATTTGCACCGGCTCCATTCGCGCAAATGGCTTCCACTCAAGTTGCATGAGGAACCTGGTGGTTTGCAACAGTCCACCCCAAAGTGAGAATGATCCTGGGAAAAGGTGGGAGGAAAGGGTCAAATCCTGCTAATTCACCGGGCAGCTGTAGCTGCGCAACCCCGACAAACGAAATGCCTCAAACCATCTCAAACCCTAAATGCTTCAACTAAACGTGCCTGAAACACTAGAAACCTCAAAGCCTACAAAAGCAAAAGCCCTGTATGCCTCAAACACTAGAACCCTAAGAAGCGTACAAATGTCGAAACCCCACAGGCCTCAAAAAGCCTACAAAACAAAGGCCGAAACAGGAACCCTGAAACCCAAATGCCAAATACGCTGGAGCTAAAACCCTAAAGGCCAAAACCACCAGAAATCTAAAAGCCGAAAACATTGGAACCAGCCCTATATGCCTCAAACACTAGAACCCTAAAGCCTGCAAAAGCTAAGCTGATTTCCCCTTGAAACATCACCCCCACCAAGGGATACTCACCTTTCATGGGCCAAAAAGGTGATGTTTAAAACCACCAAAAAGGGACATATAGGGAACCCTCACAAACTACAACCCCAAAACCTAAAAAAAAACTTCGCAAGCGGCCCCCCCAATCAATTTCGGGCCCGAATGAAGGTTCAAACCGCCCCAAAACGCCGCCACCACCACAGGCCGCCGGGCAATGAGGAGGCCGTTGGCAGATGCCTGCGCCTCCGGTGGCCAAGTTCCATTGGCTCATGTACCGGTGGGTTGGTGGGATTGGTGGGTTGGTGGGTTGGGGGGTTTGGGGGGTTTGGGGGTTTGGTGGTTTGGGGGTGGTTTGGTGGTGTGGAGGTGCTGGTTCTTGCAAGTTCCACAAATTGGCTCATGTACTTAGTGGATTGGTGGATTGGTGGGTTGGTTTGGGGGTTTGAGCCCCTGGTTCTAATCCAAATCACAGCTATCAAGAGAAAACGGTCTAAATGATTGATAGCTGACTCCTCCAATCATGACTAATTGTGGTTTAAAGGCCCCCAGAATCCCATTCGATGTTTGTTAGGCCTTTATATTAGGGGGTTGTTCAAAATAAAAGTTCCTGGAAACGGCCCTTTCGCCGGCCTTTCGCGGTCCTTTCGCGGCCCCATGTTTTCCTTTCGCGGTGACACACCTGTCCTGAAAAACTTGTTTCCGAGCCCAAACGAGGGTTCTACCATGTATTCGTTATGTTTCAAGTCCTTTCGCGTTCCTTTCGCCAGCCTTTCGCGATGCAGTGTTTTCCTTTCGCGCTAGACCTTCAGAACCTTCCCTTTACTTAATTTTAAGACTGGCAATTTAGAACGACTCCCATATGTTTGTGAGTCACAAATAGGTAAGGGAAAAGGACTCCTGGCAAATGGAAACATGCGCTAAAACCGGCTGTCCACATCCTGGCGGTCTAATTTTGACCCATACTTGGATGCTCGATTCGCCAAGTTAGCAGTAAGTGATTAGCCACCTGGGGTGGGCGAGTTGGGCCGGTTGTAAGTAGGTTATACCCCAGGTGACTAGCCACTTACTAACTTGGCCGAGCACCCAAGTACGGTCTACAGAAGGGTGGGGGGAGCCTTAGAGGAAGGTTCATGTCTCTACAAGAAACGCAACTCGGATGCAGCCTCACGATTCTTTGATGACCTCAGTCCCTGCTTCCATAATTTGCACAAACACTGCCTCCTTTTCTCGCCTCCTTTGTGTCTTCTTCTTCTTTTTTGCGCGGGGGGAGAGACCAACCTCCGCTCAGCTTCCCATTGGTGGTTTAATAGTGACTGAGTGTAGTGGGTAGGTGGTTTCCCAATTACCCTCTACAAAAACCACGGGGGAGCTCACAAGCCGCTAGTGCAAAGCACCAAGTAGGGGGCACCTGACCAGATCAACATAAAACTTGAAAAAGAACAATCGAAGAGGAACCTTTACATTGCGTACATTGGTTGTATGAAGCCGCGAAGAGGTTGACCTGCCAACCCCAAGTCAAAACGTCTTTTGACCTCAAGGCCCCTGCACCCCTCCCCCTTTCAGGTTGGTCGCAAGGGACACCAAGAGAGCCGCCATTTTGGAATCCATATCCCGATTTTAACAATTGCCATGTTGGAGCCCAAAGCCATATAATGGTTTAATTGATTCGGTGACCCTAAATGGGTGTCAATTTTGTGAGGCTACCCTTTTCGGTTGCGCACACACACACACACATCATTGTCCTTTGATAGAAGCCATGAGAACGCACCCGTTCAGCGACTGAAGTAAGCGATGAACTAGTGGTTCCCAGGGGTGCATGGGCTTCGATACCCACCCTCCTTCAAGTTCGGCCCATGTTTCGTGAATCACACGTAAAATAATATCAGAAACGATCCCACACTTGGTGACCAGACTCACCCCCTGAGGAGACAAAGGGGTCGGCGCCTTCAGGGGTTCGCTGCGCCGCAAGCAAGATGCAGCTGGGGTTCCATGCATTAGCTCTCTCCCTATGGGTAAATCATAACAATGCACCCCAAACTTGGGTGTTCTATATGAACATGACCTTTGTCAGCGAGCGCGCAAATTCAAAGCCCTGTGTGATGTCGCTATCATTGGCCCAGATATTGTCCTTATGGGAACAAACCGCAGGTTCCTTCCCGGCTGGCGGAAAGGCAAACGGGCAGGCACTTCGAGCAGCGACTAACGCAGAGGGGAAACCCGTGTGGCTGGTCACAAAGAGTTGCCAATGCGCCAAGAGGAAATCTCAGGAGCTCCAAGGCGAACTAGTGCCCGTGTGGCCTTCTTCATCCGTATTAGTCCCCCTTCAACCGGGATTGCAGGGGCCCTTGTGCCCTTCACATACACAAAGCGTCTACACAAATGACAATTACTCACAGAAATGAGTCAAGAAGCCTTATCATGAGTGAGCTTGCATGAGCTTGCTTCACCCGCAGCTGAGCTCGTTATTTGTGCACAATCACGCACGGAATAGCCAAGGGCGCTTTCAGGCAAGGGAAGATGCTTAAGATGGTTGCCAACTGACTAATCTTCAGAAATATTCAAACTGGCAACTAAAAGGCAACGAGTGCCGCGTTGCGTTGACATTTTCAAAACATAAAACATAAAACAAGTGAATGGCCCCCTTTTGGTGGGGAGTCATCACTTTTGGAGCCCCCCCTATTCATTGGTAAACAAATCGCGGGTTAGCATTACCCTGCGCAAAGACATACCCTCCCACCAACAAGCATGGAAGTGCACACAGGCCAGTTCCAACAGGCAAGTAGTCTTACAGGGGTCTGTGCACTTCCATGCCAGTCGGTGGGACAGTACTGACAGCACCCACCTGGGTTGTTTCCAGGTGGCCCCTTAGAATCGGTTCCCAAATTCCCGCCTGGCGGGGGAACTGGAGGCTGAAGAAGGCAGCGTCCGCGCCCCCGTCGCCCGGCCAAAGCGCCAGCAAGCACCTGATGAGATGTTTTCCCTTTCTGTCCATTGCATTGGGTCTCC